TTCATCTGGGAGAAAAATGCTTAAATACCTCTGGAGAAACAAATAACAAATCCCTTTTGTTACTGCTACTCATGACAACTTCAGTGCTAAACTAACAGAATCTAGTGATGAGATCATCAGTTTGTCAAACAAACAAGGTTTTGATGTTCACGCTCTTGTGTACATTAGCAAGTTAGTGCAATGCACTGCGAGGGGATCTGTAGACCAAAACAGTTTGTGCTGGGAAGTTGACACCCACACCACCACCACATTTGCAGTAAATGCAAACGCAGTAAATGCATTCCAGAAGCATTTACTACAGATTTGCTGAAGTCTTGCTCTGAAGACAGAGTGTCCATTAGCAGTTGGAGAACACTAGGCTTGCTCCTGGACTGCATCTTTCAGTTTAGCTTCACCCAAAAAAGTCAACTACACACATTCTGAGACACACCACTGCAAACCAAAGCACGGCACGTGGGAAGTCAAGAGCATATCCCTGATCCAAACTAAAACACCAATGTACATGCACTACGTATGTTCTGACTTAGGCCTACGATATCAAGCCATCTGCAACTGTCATTCTTACCTCATAGTTTCTGGCATTGGTATTAGCTGCCTTCTCTAGCTCAATGCGAGCTCGTTTGTGGCTAAGCTCCATCTGCATCTTCTCTCGTTCCACTTGCAGGAGCTGGGATTTGGAGTGGATCTGCCCAGCTTGTTCTTCCAACTGGCCAGTTCATATGTGAAAAGGGACATTACACACCATTAACAGCACTGCAATAATATCGTTATCTCCCACCCTGTACTACTCAGATGACACCTGCATGCCATTTTACAAATTACAAGGAAACTATCACCATGTTTGTGGTACTTGTCTTCTCACACCAGCTACAGATGGGGAAACCAAGAGTTCAACAACACACTCAGAAACCCACATCAAATCAATGTTAGTTGGAAAGAAGTGAATTTCTTAATTCAGAATTTCTCATTCAATGTCTAGAGGTACTCTGACAAAATGTACTTCTCTATCTAAAAAAAGGTTAATTACGAACTCCCCAAGCCTTATAAAAGTAACAGCAGCTAACCAAGAAGCAGAGATCATGCTCCCCATGAAATTTAACTGCTGAGCAAAATAACATGTTTTTCTACTACCTGCTACAACATTATGCTTTTTTTCATTCAAATTACCTTAGAGCACAGACAATATTAATAGAATACCTCACATCTAAGCAATGTACATTCAACACATAGCTAATGAAGACTCTCTAACCAGAGAGCCTCCTCTATCTCTGTAACCAGAGACGTACTACAAACAGAAAATGCATAAATTTTTCTCAACATTCCAAATGCAAAGCAGATTTACATTAAAAAGAAAGCAAACTTATCTTATACTTAGAGACTGAAATAGAAATTATATTAAGATACAGAATACAGAAGCTTTATTCCAGCCTAATAAACAGTCCTTATGATCTAAGATGTCAACTTACTCCATGCTTTATGAGCATAGGCAGCTTAAAGGAAAAAGTCAAAAAACCCCATGTGGATATGAACAGAAGCGGACAAGAAAGCACAACTGGTTAGCACATCCGTCAGAGCCATAGCACTATGCAAGTCTCCTGTATGTGTCCAGGCAAAGAAACCTTAAGGAAGGTTGTGAAAAAAGGTAACAAATGACTTACTAGAAAAATATTAACAGATAGAAAGCTCCTTTGTTCAGCAATATGAAAACAACTTACAATTTAATTTCCTGAGCTGGTATACAGATATAACAAGCAGGGAAGAAATTCAAAGGACCTTTCTTAAATTTTTACAAAACAGAAATAAATATGTCTGACACTTTAAAAAAATGTAAAGATTCTAGAATGTTCACCAAAAGTAAACTTCCATTTTGAGCTTGCATGAATATCAATTTTTGAAAGAATGGTCAGATCTTAATGAAATCAATCCTGATTCCTGGAATCAAAAGGAGTCTACAACCACACTGAAGTGATACTGCAGGCATCACCAAGCTGAGGACACCTCACCTGCACCCTCTGCTGGTACTGAATCTGTAAAGAGCTTTGAGTCGATCCTGGTGTCGCCAGCCCAGACACCCCCTCCATACGCTGTGAAATAAAGTTGTTGAGGGATCTCAGGGTGGAGAAGACAGTGGTATTATCTTCCAAGTCCTCCATGGCTCTGGAAATATACAGAAAGTCATCAGCAAAACATTCAGAGCAACCTACAGTATACTGGCTGCTTTGCTAAAAAGAGATACGTCACTGCCCTGAGGAAGCACTGAATGCAAGGTCTTCCAATTTACAGGGTACAAAACCTGATCTGCTAGTCACTGCTGGGATCCACAGATTACTGTTGGGATCAACTTGAACCAGAAAACACTATCCAACCAAGGCTGAAGTCATAGGTCTCTGAAGTGAAAAACTGATGCAACAGAGCCTGTTCTTCCCTGAGCTTTCTACCTGAAATGGTTTGATTTTATTTAAATACATTCTCCCCTGAATCTCAGCCCATAAGCGTACAAATAAGAGCTGTCATAAATTATACAAAACTGAATTCTCCTTTCCTATATAATCAAGATAGATTCTCGGATACAAGTTAACATTGTAGGACATAAAGATCTACAGCATGTAACACTAACAAACAGCACTCAGTCTTCCTCCAAACGTTTGAGGCAGGGACGGAGAACTAATTCCATACTAGCAGCAAACTGTACCTTCTACACAACTTGATCCTGGTTTCCAAAACGCGCTTTGGAACCTAGCTTCCAGCAATGAGACTTCCCGAGTTCACAGGTCGCTTCTGTAAGTAAAACTGTGTCTCCTCGTTCACATAAAAGTTTTTGCAATCCTTCCTTCAAATTTGGAAGGGTACTAACTAAAAGGCCAAAGAAGAATCAAGCCTGGAGCTCAGAAAAGCCTGCAAGGTTTCCCAGGAGACTTCAGGAAGCCTTAAGTGAGTCCCTCTAGCGACTGCATGTCCCACAAAGCCCCAGAAGCATAGAAGAAGGTTCAGAACCAGGAAAGGTAGCCCACAACGTTCACACAGGCTTGTACCAGAGACGCAGACTTGGGGCTAACTTTCAGGCTTGTGCACTCTCAGGGTAACACAGCAGGTATTCTTTGGATTCCTATCACCGCAAAGAGGAGACCTAATAGAAGCACACTCGCAACAGATCAGCCAAAGCCCAAATGAAAACGTTTATTCAAAATAAGTACTTCAGTACCACATGCAAATAAATTCAAGCGAGACCACTGCCAACAGGTAACTGGGCTCCAGCAAGCCTCTTTCGAAATCAAGAACAGCGCTAAAAATTAAGACGACGCGTACACCCCGCCTCCCCGCTGCAGAATACCCGTTGGCAAAGGCTCCCTTGGAGGGAAGAAGGGACCCCCTGCCCTCACAACCCAGCGCCCCCCGGCAAACCCCCGAGAGCGGCCGCGGTGGGCGCAGGGCTGCTACCCCGCAGCC